AGAGTTTTTTTGTTTAGAGTTTGTAAATCTCTTGTTTTTATTCTTGTGAGTAATAGAAACTTGTTTTTCTCTCAAATTATGTTTATGATCTTGGGATGATACCACAACACTTTTTTATTTTTGTGTTAGCCTTTTTAATTAGTGAAGATCCAAAAACTTATCGAGAGACTGTTACTTCTATAGATGTCTCTTTTTCGAAGGAAGCTATACAAAATGAAATTGAATCAATTAGAAGTAATCACATATGGGACTTAGTTAATTTACCTACAAGATGTAACCTATTAGGAGTACATGGATCTTTAGAAGTAAAATAAAACCTTATAGTAATACAGATAAATTTAAGGCCACACTAGTTGTTGTGGGATAATCTCGAAAGAAAGATTTTGATTATTCCGATACTTATTCTCCTGTAGAAAATTTTTCCTCCATTAGAGCACTTGTTGTTTTACTGTTATTCATAATTTGATTACTCATCAAATGAATGTAAAAATGGTATTTCTAAATTGTGACTTAAATGTGAATATATATATATATATATATTGAGCAACCTGAAGGTTGTATTGTGCCTGGACAGGAGGATAAAGTTTGTAAATTGCGAAACTCTTTATATGGCCATAGACAGACGCCTATTCAGTGGTATGAAAAACTTAACATTACTTTAGTTGTAGATGGCTTTACAGCAAATTCTTCTGATTCTTGCATGTATTGTGAATGTCTTGAATCTGAAACTGTTACTATTTGTCTATATGTTGATAATATGGTAATCTTTGGTACTACCATCGATGTGGTTGTGAAAACCAAAAAAATCGACTCCTAAATTTGATATGTAAGATTATGAGAAGTGGATGTGATTCTTGGTGTTAAATTACGTAAATTTGAAAGTAATGGAGAAAATCTTGAAACGTTTTAACTGTTTTGATGTTGTAGAACTTCTTACGATCCTAGCATACAACTTAAAAAAGAAAAATTTAATAGCTGGCCAAAGAGTCTAACAAGCCCAACAAATGATTGTCATTTCCAACAAAAGTTTGTGATTTTTGTTATTCTGCATGTAAGTTCTCATGATTTGACAGGAGAGCTTCTATTATAGAAACTGTCGTCACCTTTTTTGTTACTATTCTCTCTTCTATGTTTGCATGTAATCTTCTTACTAAATGCCGAACAATATCAGTTCATTTCACTATGCGCGTGAGGTTAATAGGCTTACAAACAACTATTTATGGGATTCTGTCAGCCATTAGATTTTTTGGTGTCCGTTTGGAGTGGTTCTCTATTGTGTAGTCAAGTGGAGCTTTTCTCTTCCACTTAGGCATATTAGCTGCTTTTGGATTTCTGTTGGTCCGCATGTCTGCTTTCCTACTCAGTGGTCACACGATTTTGACAAGTGTGGACCTTTTCACCTTGATCCAAGTGCGCCGAGTAGATTGGTCATGCTCCATAAGTAGCACAGTTTATATGGTACATTGTTCATTACCAAAAACAACGTACTTTGCCTGTGAGTGGTACATTTTCACTGGTAAAACTATACTATATTAACTTTTCGTGTGAGACCTATGGAAGACAGAACACATGTCCTATATGATAACCGATATTTAACTCGCAACAAAAATTGAATATGGCCAAATCAAATAAGTTCAATGTGTAAACAATTGATTTATGGATATTTCGTTTTTGTAGATTTTATAGATATGAGCACGATCTCTTTATTCCATGATCAATGGACATAGTAATCATTTATACATATGTTGTAACTTTTTTTCTTCTTATATATTATCTTTCTTCTGCTATTAATATCTCATATCAATGTTCACATGGAGACAATTTATTTATAAAACGTTGTCAGCTTGATGATTGCACACACATAGCTCGCTCATTAGGTTATTGAACAACAAATAAGTTAGGATGCTATCTAGCCTAATTGGTGTGCATTTGGATCATAAGTTCCAAAAGACAAAACTGGCCCTAAAATACTGACATTACTCGCTAGAAGGCTGGAGAACGAATGATCGATTCTTCTACGGATTTATGTTATTTATTATTACTACTCTCTTATCATTCTTTTGGGACTATTTTGTTCATCATATTTGATAATTTGATTAGATATATTGGGTCTCACCTGAACTCTCGATATATTTTACTTCTTTCACGTCTAGGCGAGTTGAGAATATTTTAGAATTGTATCAAAAACATTATGTGACATTGACTTTTAAAAAAATACACATTTACAACATTGGATCATAAGCTTGAAATTAAAACTTACCAGTCTTCAAATTTTAACTAAATTTACCACATACTACTATATCCCAACACTTTAATAATCTAAATCAAAAGAAAGATTCAAAATTGCTATAAATCCGCGTAATACCCGTGACCTTACTTCAAACTGTTACCTCAAATTTGAAAAACGCTTCCAAAATTATTTGTTTATTTGATCAAAACCCCTATACAGCAGCTCTCCACCTACTTTTCAATTTCAAATATTTCCCCATTTCTCTCTCTCTCTCTCTCTCTACCATTTTTCTCCAAACCTCTGCAATTTAGCTCTCCAATGTCCAAATTCCAGCCCAATTCAAAACCCTGCATTACATGAACAGTATCAAGCTCACCCCACTTGCCTGCAATCTTCTCAAATGGCGACATCGGCCTTCAAATCGACGACCAAGAGGGCCTCACCCGGTTCCAGCTCCGGCGGCTCCCTCCGCCGTTCCCGTAGCCTAAGCCGATTCTCACACCCCATCCCGACGGAGCCGGATGTCGAGGCCGAGTACAACCGGAACGCGCCCCGTGGGAAGTTCGTGAACACCACGAGGGGATCGACGGCGGCGCCGTTCCCGGAGATCAGCTTGGATGATCTGGCGCTCGAGTTCTTCTCCTCCTCGTCGAAGAACGGGAACGACAGCAGCGACGGGGCTGTGGCGGGGAAGCAGGAGAGAGAAGGGCGGTCGGTTTCAAGGCAACGGGAGATTGGGCGGTGGGCGCGTGATACGGCGTCGTCGTCCAGAAGGAGGGGAAGGTCGGTGTCGAGGACTCGTGCGGGTGATGTTGCTTCGGGTGGGCCCGTCTCCGGAGTTAAAAAGGTTGTTTCCTCCGATGCAAGCTCGAGGCGGCGGAGGTCACTATCGGTGGCGAGGTTTCAGATTAGCGATTCCGAGGTGAGATGCGTTGAGTATTCTAATGAGCGATTCCGAGGTGAGATGCGTTGAGTATTCTAATGAAACTTGGAGCTGTACTCAGTTCATAGTTCAACACTTTGTAGAAGCTTTCTGATAATTTATTAGTGAGGCAATTTGGCTGTGTGAGGCTTTGATCCAATGTTAGCAGAACTTGTTTATTGTTATACCTCCTAAAAAGGACCACATCATGATTTTGGGTTTTGACTGTTGAAATCTTATTGCCAATTTTTCTTTGGAAATTGTGGATAGAACAATCAAGGGAATATATGTATAATTATGTTGGAAGAACAGCTTTCATGTAGCTGAATGTTCTGGAGTTTGTGTGATTAAAACAATGTATGTGGTTCTGTATTCCAACAGGTCAATGAAATGTCCTGTGGCCAGGGCCTAGGATGAAACATGTTAGACTAAATTTAAACGAGAACTTATTGTCATACCAAGCGTCCGAGTTATTAGCTGTTGAAGTACTATTGACAATTCTTGTATGGAAAATGGGAATAGGTCAATGACTTGAAGGTATCCAAATTTATGATGCAGGAGTAATATTAGTGTAGTGAACTGTATTAGAAATTTTATTGTAATAACTGTAATCGTGGTTCTCTCACCAGTTAAAATTAACCGTACTTTCATTTGATTAACAGAGTGAGGTAGATCGTTTTCGAACTAAGAGCAACCATCCTGCTGTGAAGGCCCCCTTCAATGGAAATAGCCATATGTCATTGGCACAAAAGACCACAGCTTCGGGCAATCGGAGGCTAGGAAGGTCACAAAGTCACAAAGATCTCCATCTTTTAAATGATGGTTATTCTGTAAGTTTTGCTTATCATGTGCAACTTGTTTATATGGATGGAATTTTGTTTTGTGTACAAACTTATATTTGTGGCAGAAAATGTGCTACTGTTGAAATTTGAATTTCTCACTGTTGTTTTAATGTTACACGGTGGTTAATTGTTGTCTTTAAACATACATCCAAGATAAATATTGAGGTCTGGCAGAATTAATTAAAAGATGAACCATGCGACCATTTTTTCTCATCAATCTGTCAGAGCCAGTCTTCTGCCCTAACTGACGAGGAATCAAGGAATACTCATTTTGGGAAACATGGTTTTGAGAAGATAATCCGGCCAGTATACTCACAGAAGGTTTTTTATTTAGTTTTTGTATAGTGATACCGTGTAATTTAATATTGCTAATGCCATGTTTGCAAGGTCCTTATCCTTATTTCTTTTCCTTTTTATGTATTGTAATTTTTCAGGCAGTACATCCCACTGAGGATGCTGCAAATGGTGGATTGTATGAAGCAATGCGGAAAGAACTCAGATATGCTGTTCAAGAAATCCGATCCGAACTCAATCAAGTGCGTCAGAATGAATCATTTCTGAAACTACGGGAGAGTTGTATTTTGATGGTCTTAATGGTTGTCTGTTAAACGTGAACTGGTTTCTTAGTTGAACTGCTTATTTTTCTATGCAGGCAATGGGAAGGAATCAAATATCTAGTAATGACTGCTTGCAGTCAGATAAGGATGCCTGTAGAATCAGAGAAAAATATGCAACAAAATTGGAGCAGGTTTGTTGCTCTGCTTTCTTGTCATCAAATCTTACATTCAGGTTCTCATTTTTATGGGTTTGTCCTTTTTTCATTTTTTAACTTAACAAGGCTATAACCAGATGCTGAATGCAGATTTAATGAAGCTCTAGTGTATTCATGTCAATGTTCTTAGGCTATTCTTTCAATGCAAGGGATGTAGAAATAAATTATATTTTTATCTAAAATAATAAAATAAACTTGCAGTTAAAGTTAACCAAGATAAAATTGAGCTTGTTTTATAGCAATATTAATTATTTCCGATGGAGATGTGCATCTGATTTAGCTGGTCATTTGAGATGGAATATCCTTTGTATACGTGATAGTTGGAGAAGCACAAACAAGATCTTCTCAAAGAAATGTTATTTGAGGAACGGGGTCAAGAGGTGCCTAAAATGGTCAAAGACCTTCCATATTCAAGATCTTCAACTGTGCTAGAGAAACCATCACGAGCTAGAAAGGTCTTTTTTTGTTTCTTTCTCGACATTTTAAGTTTATGATAGTAATCAAACTAATATATTGGTTAAAAATATCCTATAATTCTAATAATAACTATTATTGTAACACATGTTTGCTTTGGTGTTAAAAGAGAAGTAGCGACAGAAATGGGGTGTCAAAGAAATTAATTGAGGAGGCCGAGAAATACTTTGAGGACTTCATTTGTAACATTGAAGACACAGATATATCGTCCTTTGATGGTGAAAGGAGTGATGAGAGTTTGATTTTGGGCGGGCGAATGAGGGAAAGAGAAGATGCCACAACTGTAAGAGAGGCCAATCAAACTAGCAAAAAAGATCAAGCATCTCAACCTGTTGAAATGGATGGTGTTATTTTGCCGTGGTTGCAGTGGGAGACTAATCATGACAATGACTATCCTTTGGGAAAAAACATGACTCCTTTGACTCCAAAATCTGTGCAGAGGAACTCAGAAAAGGTGCAGTTTTAGTTTCTTTCTCCTTCTACACCCAACTTATCAGAAGTCCTCTTGACATTTGTTTCGATTCTTACTTCAAAACCTAACTGGAGAGTCTTTCATTATTAGATTAAACTTAGGGGTTGTTTTTTGTTAGTTATCCTTATTTATACATGTTAAATTCCCTTAGATGTGTGGAGGAGAGATCTTTTGCAGGATGGTATAATCGAGTAGGATTTTGTGGCATCCTATCTAGGGGGAAGGTTTACATACTACTCTGTTTTCAGTTGCTACACTAGTATCTTTAGGGTAGTGATAAATTGTGGCAATTGGTGTTGATTTTGACGTACTTTGTATTTTTTTTTTTTTCAGGACACGGTCCCATTCAACGACCAACGTAGTCACTCCATTAGCAGTCATGGCAGTTGGAGCCCAGGTGTTTTCAATAGTCCTCCCATTATTAAGAGGAAAGATGCACGCAAAACTGTGCAAGTCGAAAATGCCTCTGGATTTGACATGGATGAGTACCTGAAACTTAGAAATAAAGACGAACTATTGTTCGATATGTACAAAGAGCGGAGCAGAATCAGTTTAGGTGGAATGCTGCTTTGCAATGGGGGCTTTTATTGATGTCCCAGTTTCTGTAATAGACTCGTTCAGCGTTTATGAAGCTACTTAATTATTTAATCACTCATTTTCTCGAAGAGAAAAAAACCCCACAACATTCATATTAGTTTCTCTGCATTGACAGTCTCGGATCATGGCTTCCAGTACAAGTTTCAACCAAAATCTTACGGCTCGAAGAGAGAAGATTAAACTGTTAACTTATCTGTGTATTGGGACATAGTGAAACAATACGCTAGTATATATACAAAACCGAAATTGTATTTTATAACAATATTTTTATGTACATATTTGCAAACCGTATATCATGTTCATTACTCAAGTACAGCTGAATCCTCCCTATATATAATTCTCGAATGCGTTGAGCCTACGTGGCTGCTTCTGGTGCTTCGGAATCTTATTTGGCGAAGAATCATGCTTCGTGTTTGGATAAATAATATTGATATATTAATAACTAATAATCTAGGTTCGGGTATTCCATAAATATTATTTAGTTAACTTAGGTATTTTAATATCACTTTTACTAATATAACCCTTTAATTTTTTATAATTTTCCATAGTGAGGCAGTAAGTGATTAATATATCTCTGAATTTTGATTTGTTTCCTTCAATAAGCTATTGAATTATAAATGTATTTTAAAAGTTGATAACTTTTGTATTTCTTATCGGTTTTACATATATAATATATCAAATTAATCATCTTTTGATGATCTTCGATTTGACATTCATATTGTATATATGAAATAAATAAATTATATTTATCTTTATAATAATAAAAAATAATAATATTTATTAAAATTCATTAGATAAAATTATTTCTCAATTGATATATTTATATGTAATGTAGTTATATATTGTATTATTGTAAGTTAAAAAAAAATCCCCCCTATATATTATTCCAGAATGCGTTGAGCCTACGTGGCTGCTTCTAGTGCTTCGGAATCCTACTTGGCAAAGAATCATGCTTCGTAATTAGGTTTGAACAAATAATATGGGTATATTGATAATTAATAATTTAGGTTTGGACATTCCATAAATATTATTTAGCTAACTTATGTATTTTAATATCACTAATATGACCCTTTATTTCTTTATAATAGGCACTTAGTGCCTCATATATCCCTGACTTTTGATTTGTTTCCTTCAATTAGTTATTGAATTATAAATGTATTTTAAAAGTCGATAATTTCTGTATTTCATATCGGTTTTACATATATAATATATCAAATTAATCATCTTTTGATGATCTTCGATTTGACATCCATATTGTATGTATGAAATAAATAAATTATATTTATATTTATAATAATAAAAAATAATTATATTTATTAAAATTCATTAGAAAAATAAAATTATTTCTCAATTGATATATTTATGCTTAATGTAGTTATATGCTGTAAGTTAAAAAAAATATTATAATATAACACATGTAAGTTGCACAAATACAAAGTGTCAAATTAAATATATAATAATATATATATTTTTATAAAAGGTATTTAAATTTTTTCAACTACTTTTTCTCATTAATTTTAAATTTAAAAAAAAAATTAGCAAACACCCATGTAATACACGGGCGTTGTACTAGTATATCACTATTTCAAATAAAGTCGGTATTAGTTTTTTGTTTGTACCACTACCGACGACAAACTTGACCGCAAATATCGAGCCCGAAACTCGAATAAATCAAGACAAGAGGGCTTGGGATTCAAGAGGTGGGCTTGGTATTATTAAACTGCATAAATGCAACAGACTTAAAGAGGTGCTAAAATAAATTAAACAATCTGAGAGTTTCTTTCAAGCTGGTTATTTATATACAATACAACATCACATTCAAGATTTATACTGCTCCAGAATAGAAAGACTCAAAGGACTCTGCGCATCCAAATTGCACGGCCCTACGACTGACGAAACTCTTTATATAACAAAAGCACATAAAGTAAATTCAAATCTCTAGTACAACACAATGGCAAGCACGCAATCTTTCGCCCGATACAATACATGCAACAAAACCTGCTTCCTATAGCTCTCTATCTGCCGCATTTGACAACACATCATCTAATTTCAAACTTCCATGCAAAAATAAAAGATCGATATATGCACAAAAGAAACAAATAGACACCAAGTAATAGTAGAGAGATTCGACTCAAAACACAAGGACCAATTTGAGCGCAAAAAATATCCACGTGAAAGGAGAAAGGGCGAGGTACAAAAACATAGCAAGAGAGACCCGAATTGGACTCCAAATTCAATTTAAAAAATTGAACAGAACCCAGTCAGCCATCAACAACTCTTGGAGTAATTCCCCTGCCATGCAATGAGCTGTACTTGCTGATATGCTTTTATCCAATTTAAAGATTCCAATCAGGAGGCCCAATAAAACATTCCCAACCATTTCCTGTCAACAGAAACGGCTCGTATTTGGAAGTTTTTTTATCATTATAATGTTTGGTTTTAGTTCCAAAATTTGAAATAACTGCTGATCAATCAATCTCTCCTTCCTCCGGATCATTTGAAGCATCCAGCTTGCTCTGAGGTTCGATTTCTTCTTCCTCATCATCATCGTTCTTCATATACAAACCAAGCTGCTCAAGTGGATTACTGCTTGCTTGAAACTTAAAACTACCAAGAACATTTTGAGAATTTTCAGGGCTTGCGGCCTCTATTAAGCTTTGCAATGGCTCATCTTGTGTAGACCTTAGCATCTCCAGATCTTCCATAAATTGGCTGCTTTCATTGATTTCAACGGTCTTCTCCATCTGTTGACAGCAAAATGCTTAAGCAGATATAGGCATTTGAAACTCGGGATGACATATAATTCCACAAACGCCCTTGAAATTTTACAGAAACACTCCTATATTTAGTGAAACAAATATCGTGCCTTCTTGAGAGTGAACTGCTAAAACAATCGAATGTTAACAAAGATTTTGTAATTCTGTTGACACTTCTCTTTACCAATCAGACAGATCCTCGAGGGTGATTTTATAACTATACCTAATTTTCGAATCCAAAAAGTCAGCAGTATTTACCTTAAGCAGAGCTTGACGTGCAGCTTCCCTCTCAAGTTCTCTTTTCCTTTTGGCTTCTGCAGCAGCTTCCGCCTCAGCCTTTTTCCTAGCCTCTTCAGCAGCTTTCGCCTCAGCTTGCAATCGAGCTTTCTCTGAGAAGCATAGATAAATTAATCCTTTTATTGCATGGGCAATCCTAATACAATCCAAGTACCAGTTCCACATAAAAAATTGGCAAGTGAAAAATAGAAGTAAAACCTTCTTTCCTCCGCCTTTCAACCTCTTCTTTGTCGAGCTTCAGTTTCTCGGGATCAGGTTTTTCTCCCTGTAAAACGAAAATTTATTAGTCAAAATCAACACTAACGCCAATGCAGGCAAGGGAGCGAGAATGCAATGAAGAAAGCTAACAATCATGCTTCCTGTAGAAAATAAAATTTATCATTGTACCTTCTCAANNCTTGAGCTTTGAGTATAATGTCGGCAAATCTGCTTCTCAATAGAGCTGCACGATACAGCTTATCAGGGGAGACTTGCCTTTCATGTGGAGCACTCTCCCCTAAAAATGTTCACATCATGTTGTGTGAGATTATGCTGCACTTTAACAGTAGCACGCATTTTCTTCACTAGTAATCTCACTCTGCTTACCCTCTCGGTGACAATGTGGCTCAATAGACGTAGAAGGGTTTGATGCTGTATTTTGCTCATCAGCATTTCCGTTCAAGGAATCTAAAAATTAACTCAGAGAAGTCAACTGTAATCTAGTAAAAAAAAAAAAAAAAA